GCAGCAAACGCCTGCACCTCACCTCTACGAGTGCCAGCGTCAAAGCTGGGCATATGCTTACGATTTGCCACATACATCTGTCATGCTCACTCGCAAAAAATCACTGAGTGAGGGGATGGTGTACCAGTTATCAGTACATAATATATGCCCCTTACCAAGATATGGTTCCATCATTGTTCTAACCACATCACCAGAGATGCCCAATAACTTCCTGGTACTTTGCAATGTATAAGTTCCAGTGTACACAATAATATCCAATACAAGACCACTGTAGCAGTCACAAAGCACAAATAACTTCATACCAAAGTGTTTTCTTTTGCTTGGTATATATTGCTTGAATGAGAGTCTTCCTTTGAACAGAATCAAAGACTCATCAATAACAAGCTTCATGAAGGGATAAAAATACATGCTGAAGTTCTCTTTCAGATACATAAACACATTCCTAATCTTATATAACCTGTCGTTTCTGTCAGGCCTGGTTTTGTCTGAGAAGTGCAGCATACATAATAGTAGCACATATCGATTCACTCGCAACATATCACTATATCCTGGGGTTGCAATCAGGCGGTGTGTTGACCAGTATGATTTGACACTGTGCTTATATACATGTGGTATAAGCATTATTGTGGCAAACAAAAGATACATCTCAGCCACAGTTGTCTCCTTCCACTGGTGTAGGCGTGATTTTGGTGAAAGTATTGTGTTTGCCATGGTGTAATCGAAGTATGTGTTGCTTTCCCTGAAAATAATTTCCATCAGGGGTTCATCAAAGAATAACTCGAAACATTCCAGTTCAGTGGCATTGTTCCCAAGTGTACAAGATGGCTGTATTCCACTTTGACTTTCATCAAACTGATGGGGATTGGGAACAAAATTGCCAGCTTCCTGTCAATCCCAGGCGCGGTCTGCTGGTGGGTACTGGATATTGACAGGTGCTTGTGGTTGTGGAGGCTGGTGTGGTGGGTGGGTGGGGGATGGTGGCCTTTGTTGTAGATCAGCTGAGGCAGTGGCGTGGGTGGCAGCATGGCCCACTGCTGGTGTCTCACGGCCGGCACCACCACTACCACCACCATGCACATTTTCCATCCCAACTGCAACACTATCATCTTCATTTTCACTATCTGTTCCTATTGTACAGCCATAGGATGTACTCCGAGATGTACGCCTTCCCTTGGTATAACATATGGCATACTACCAGAGCGCATATACCGTCGTAAATACTGACGCTTCACTGGAGAATATTCCACTTCACTATCGCTACCGGAACTGTTTTCAAGAGCTTGTAGTTCATATTCACTATCACTATCATCACCAATGCTCACATCTGAATACGGGATATGGGAAAATAGGAGTTTCCTCTTTCGTTCTGGTACAACTGAACATGAACAAGACGGCCCAGAAGCAGAGGTGGAAGACTGAGGGTCGTCTGGGTTTTCCTCACTATTACCGGTATTATGGTCATTAGTTTCAGTCACAACCTCATCAAAGCCTTGAAACTCATCTTCACTGGCACTTCCATCTGTATTAGAACTGTCACTGGGGAACAAAAGTGTCCCAATTCGCCGAGGAGTAAGGAGTTTCTTACCACGAGGCATGTGAGCAAGGTGTACTAAAATGGCGTTCCCACAATGCGCCACTGGGTCCCAGATATTTCTCTACCGCGCACACCGACCATACACACCCATTTTCTCACATCTAGGCTTACCAGCCTTTTCCAGCTTGATTTGAAGGCGCTAGAATTTACGCATACTAGTGCGTCAATAACCCTGATATGTGAGCCATACTAGTACGTCGGAAACCCTGAAAGGGTTAAGGGTTAACATGGTAGTTACGTTCCTGAAAATGCTGTACTAGATAAAGTTGTGTTAGATGAACTAAAGAACAAATGGGAAAAATATGGCTACGTTCCTGAGAGCCCCAAAAATGCCAAATAACATTTTTTTTTTAGGCCTCCACCTCTTACAAAAATAAAAGTGAATATGTAATTGTAGTTCACTGTGATGTATTAGGTTGTTTTTACTGCTTAGGGCTACAAATGTAACAGAAATAATAGTATTTCTTATCTTATATTGTGAGTGCTGGTGTTTGTGGATGATTGTGAAGAGAGTGGAGAGTTATGTTGTGGTGCTACTGGGCTGAGGTGGATGGTAGAGGTCCTGGTACTGAAGTTGATGGTTGTACTGGAGTGTCTAACTTTAAGTTATTCAGTCAGTCAAGCCAGTAATTCAAGTCATTCAGTCAGTCAAGTCAGTAAGTCATCATTCAGTAAGTCATTCAGTGAGACAAATCATTCAGTAAGTCAGTCAAGTCAGTAAGTCAGTCAAATCATTCAGTAAGTCAGCCAAGTCATTCAGTACTTAAGTCAAATAATTTAGTCAAGTCATTCAGTAAGTCAATCAAGTCATTCAGTAAGTCAGTCAAGTCATTCAGTCAGTTAGGTCACTCAGTAAGTCACGTCAGTAAGTTATTCAGTCAAGTCAGTAAGCTATTTATTCAAGTCATTCAGTACATAAGTCAAATCATTTAGTCAGTCAAGTCAGTAAGTAAGCTATTCATTCAAGTCAGGCAAGTCATTCAGTAAGTTAATCAAGTCATTCAATAAGCCAGTCAAGTCATTCAGTCAGTCAGAATATTCAGTAAGTCAGTCAAGTAATTCAGTAAGTCAGTCAAGTAATTCAGTAAGTCAAATCATTCAGTAAGTCAAATCATTCAGTCAGTCAAGTCATTCAGTCAGTCAAGTCAGTAAGTTATTCAGTCAAGTCAGTAAGCTATTCATTCAAGTCAGTAAGTCAGTCATTCAGTAAGTCAGTCAAGTCATTCAGTAAGTCAAGTCATTCAGTCAGTCAAGTCATTAAGTCAGTCAGTCAGTCAAGTCAGTAAGTTATTCAGTCAAGTCAATAAGCTATTCATTTAAGTCAGTCAGTTATTCAGTCAAGTCAGTAAGCTATTCATGTAAGTCAGTAAGTCAGTCAGCCACACAAACTTATGTTTACCTCTTTTTTGTGTGTACAAAGCAATACTGCATTACACCACAGGTTACCTCTTGTCTAATATCTTTGTTTTCTTTGTTAATTCTAAGATTTAAATGCTTATACCTTTTCTTGCCACTTTCAGCAACACTGGTATGCCTACTGGGTGTCATGATTGCTTGGCAGATACAAGATATAGTAATTGAAAGATCAAAACACAATTCACAAACAGAGCTAGCTTGTACAGGTCTGCCATCACAAATCCAGCAATCAATTATTCGGTTCCTTCAGTTATTCGGCACTAATTTTGGCTAGCATAATATCAAATTTCCAGGGTCGCCACACCAACCTGCTGCTACTGTTCGGTGGCACTACTTGCTGCATAAGTCATTCTAATTTCTTTTTCTCCATTTGTTATAACCTGCTTACTTTTAGCTCAAGGCATGGTTCCAATGAATAAAAGAAATGCTTCTCGTTGTGTAAAGCACCTACACAGTACATTGGCTTTGAAGCCACTATCGGTTCCCACGAGCTCATTCTCATGATGCAGGAGAATATGCTTTATTATTACGCTAATATCAACACTACAGCTTATTGCCTATCACAATTGATCTAATATGACATAATAAACAATATAAATAACATAAAACATGTTAAATACTCCAGAATGAATAATATTTGGGATAATACCGAGCAGTTCGACGGAGATATGAAGAGGATGTGGTATACAAATACCATTCTCCTATCCCTGTCTTGGGGGCTTATATTAAAAAAAAACAGAGTATAGCACAGGGCTAACTGTGATATACACTCGTACTGCACCATAAACCTGAAACAAAAAAAGTTATTTTCTCTATATAGATTATCACACAAAGCAGCATATGTGTAGAGAACCTAGGATAACCCAAAAAAGTCAGACAAAGTGGCTTATTTCTAGTACCTGGCTTGGGTTAGCCATATATGATTTTTGGTAAATATTCGATTCCCAGCCAGGGTAGAAACATTGGTCGTGTTTCTTTACACCTGTTGTCTATGTTCACCCATCAGTAAATGGGTACCTGGGTGTTAGCCGACTGATGTGGGTATTATCCTGGGACACTGACCTAATTTGCTTGAAATACTCTGCATAACAAGCGGCTTTCTATATAGTAGTATGTCACAGATGTCAGCAAGGCCTGTACGCCATGTACATGTAGTAAATAATTATTATAATTATTATTATTATTATTTTTACTATTATTATTATTATTGTTATTTTCTCAATTGTTTGTTGGGTTATCTTACTGAAACTTGGGCAATGTATGATGGAAAGATACTTCTTAATGTACACCAAAAATGAAAGAAATCAGACCATAAATAGCGGAGTACACTTCTCAGCCATTAGTGGCCGCTTAGCGGTATATTTTTGTATGGTTTTTATGGTTATATTCTCATTTTTTCAGTCTCATTTGATAGAATGAAAGATATATTACAGAAACAGATATGATTTTGATTGCTTTCATGATGAAAAGTACTTTGAATTTGCGCTCACAGTAGCAAAAATGTTCTATTCTTTAGTGTCCGCCTGCCAGTCCAAATTCCAATATGGAGTCAAGAATGGGTTGACATTATTTATACATTACAATAATGCAGCAGTCTGCATTATTGAAATAAAAATTCCAAATGGAAAGCAATAGTAATATGTATAAAAGGGGCCTGGAGCCGTGACTAATGAACAGAGAAAATGTTATTTTAGTGCCAGGAATGTCTGCATTGTTTATTCTGGACCCTATTTTGAAAATGGCATCTGTTGAAATTTGTGTGAAATTGGCCAAATTGCCAATTTCTGACCACTATACTGGGTGGTTGAAATAAGTGAATGGGCGGTTTCTTGTACAGTGGACCCTGGTTTACGATAATATTTCATTTCAGACGTATGTTCAGGTGCCAGTACTGAACGAATTTGTTCCCATAAGGAATATTGTGAATAGATTAGTCCATTTCAGACCCCCAAACATACACGTACAAACGTACTTACATAAATACACTTACATAATTGGTCGCATTGGGAGCTGATCGTAAACCAGGGGTCCACTGTACTCAGTCGACAGACTAGAAGTAAGTAAGTAAGTAAGTTTATTTAAGTATACACAAATACAGTTACATAGATTATCATACATAGCAGTGTATGTATAGAGAACCTAGGATAACCCAAAAAAAGTCAAAGTGACTTATTTCCAGTACCTGGCTTGGGCTTGCCGCATATGGTAAATATTTTTTTTTCTCAGTTGTTTGTTGGGCTGTCTTATTGAAACTTGGGCAATGTATAATGGAAAGATGCTTCTTAACGTACAACAAAAATAAAAAAAACGGACGATAAATAAGGGAGTTCACTTCTCAGCCATTAGCCGCCTCTTTGCGGTAGATTTTTGCATGGTTTTTATGGTTGTATTCTCGTTTTTTTGGTCTCATTTGATAGAATGGAAGATATATTACAGAAGCAGACATGATTTTCATTGCTTTCATGATGAAAAGTACCTTGAAATTGAGCTCAAAGTAGCGGAAATGTTTGATTTTTGCCGATGTTCAATGAACTTTGTGTAAGTCAAGTTGGTTAATTTTATTAAGTGTATTCTAACCTAACCACTCAGTAATTCGGCAAACTCAGTAATCTGGCACACTACAGGTCCCAATGATGCCGGATTTGTGATGGAGGACCTGTAGCAGAGAAAGACTGGACGAATATGAAGTATGAATGTTATGATGGTGAGGTGGTGTTGGGGGTGGCAGGGGATGGCGGGAGGTCTCCCCAGCGGATCCACAAGAAGGCAGCTGCTTGAGAAAATCAATTTTTTTTTCCTTTCCACAAACTGAACTGTGTTAAATTAATTTTATGATGTTACATAAAATTGTGCTGCAATTCTTCAATCGTGCTATACTCAAATCATGCCAAATAAACTTGTGCTAAATAATGGTTTACTGTACTAATACTGTACAGTCAAACCTCGGTTTTAGTATGCCCTAGTTTTCATATGATTCAGTTTTCGACAATTTTTTCATTGAAATTTTGTCCCAGTTTTCATACATCCATTCAGTTTTCCTACAGTTGAAAATGGTCCATACCAAACTCATCTACCTGCTCACATGACTCGGCCACTCATTTCCCAGAATCGAGCGTCCACACAAAGCATCCCATGCATTCGTGACTCAGTCTGCCTTTGTTTCTCATTGAGTGAGCATCAGCCCGCACGTCCATCCAAAACATTTCATAATAATTCATTGTTTATCGAGTGCGACTGCTAAATAAGCCAACATGGGGCCAAAGAAAGTTCCAAGTGCCAGCCCTTTGATAAAGAAGGCAAGAAACACGATAGAATTCAAGAAAGAACTCATAGCAAAGTACGAAAGTGGCGTACGTGTGGCCGATCTCAATCCGGTGAAGAAAAAAGAAATCAAGGAAGCTGATGTTGCAAAAGGGGTAAATGTGCCACCTTCAGTGATTAAGGACATGTGTGCAAAGTGGAATGAGTTTTGTGGAGAAATATCACCCTAACAAAGCTGTTGCAAGCTGTGTCTGCAACATGTTCAATGACAATGCCTTGTCCCATTTTAGGCACATTAAAGAGACGCCAGAAACAAACCTCTCTGGACAGATTTTTTGTGTGGCAGGGGTCCAGTGACTCTCAAGCTGGTCCTAGTGCCCGTAAAAGACAAAGAAGGGAAGTAACCCTGAATAGGGCCTTAATACCTGAATTCCATATGGACGAGAATTCCCCTTCCAAACAATAACCTCTCCTCCTCCCTCTCCCCTCCTCGCCGTCATCCATACACCAACAAGAGTCTTCAATAAAGGTAAAAGTGATGTTAAATTTTCGTTTATCCATTTCATTAATAATTTATATTTATTTCTCATTGTTTTTGGTATGTAAAACTATAGTTATTCTCTATAAAATGTATTTTTTTTTTATATATATTTTTGGGTGTCTGGAATGGATTAATTAGATTTATATTATTTCTTATGAGAAATATTGCTTCAGTTTTGTACGGATTAATTACAAAAACTGAGGTTCCACTGTATATGTACATATGTTGAACTTACGAGCAACTGCTCAGAAATGAACCTGTTCGTGAGTAGGGGAGTATCAGTACAGTGTTAGGCTGTATATACCCTTCAAGGAGAATGCCTTAGGAAAAAAATCATATTTTTTAAATAAAATTTACAAAATGGTACTAGCACAACCCAGGAAAAATCTGAAGCTTTCTGTCTTTAGGATATACAAGCCGATCTGAAAAGGCATACCCGAGTTATCATCTGGAAACCATTACACAAATTTCATTAAAAAAAATTGGAACCCACAAAGTTCAGCAACAATCCATATCTTCCTTTAACCCTTAACCCTTTCAGGGTCCAAGGCCCAAATCTGGAGTCACGCACCAGTGTCCAAGAATTTTCCAAAAAAAAAATTTGTTATTTTTTCTTATGAAATCGTAGAGAATCTTTTTGTGAAGGTAATAAAACAAAAAGTACGAAATTTGGTGGAAAATTGACGAAATTATGCTCTCGCGAATTTTGATGTGTCAGCGATATTTACGAATCGGCGATTTTGCCGACTTTGACTCCCATTTTAGGCCAATTACATTATTCCAATCAACCAAATTCTTAGCTATTTCACTAGTATTACTTCTATTCTATCGATTGAGCACAAGAAATCGCCAAGTCAACTGTTTCAACTACAAAATAAAGTGATCGGAAATTGTTAATTTGGCCAATTTAACACAAAGTTCAAAATATTCCAATTTCAAAATAGGGTCCAGAATGAACAATGTAGGCATTCCTGGCACTAAACTAACATTTCCTCTGTTCATTAGTTATGTTTTGAGGCTTTACAAATAAATTCCCTTTTGATTTTTTATTCACATAATGAATTTTTATTCACACCAAAAAATAGAAGATTTACTGTTATGCAATACTGTAATAATTGTATAAATATCATCACCATATTTGTGAATGTATATTAGACCCACCAGCTGATGTGTAATAGACGTTTGAGGTCGTTTGTTTACTCTTGAATATCGGCAAAAATTTAACATTTCCGCTACTTTGAGCTCAGTTTCAAGCCATTTCCAATACTAAAACCAATCAAAATCATCTCTATTTCTGTAATATGTCTTCCATTCTATCAAATGAGACCAAGAAATCGCAAATACAACTATAAAAAACATACGAAAAAACACTGCAAAGTTGCTGTTTTAATCGAAAAATCATGATTTCATTTTTTTTCTCTCATTATACACAGTGTGCTGCAGGATCTGTTTTATGTGGTGCACACATACCACATAGATGTATTCTCTCATATCTAGGCCCAAATGTACCACTCACAGTTTATCAGAGTGAGCTGAGCTCATGGCGTAGATCTACGGTTTGGACCCTGAACGTAAAGCCGTAGATCTACGGGACGGACCCTGAAAGGGTTAAACAGTCCAAACGTATATATACGTTCACTCGCGCAGCGCCCCGAATATTTTGAAAAAAAAAAATCGCTTTCTTTTTTTATAAAAAAAAAAACCTTTTTCTAAGTGTTATAGAATAAAAAAAAAAAAATTAGGGTCAGTACTTACCGAGATATGAGGCCGAGAAGTTGGTACTGGATGCTCATGTGACAGCAACGTGGAGTCCTGCCGCTTGCAGAAGTGTTGCCAACATACCTTTTTTTTTATTTTTCATATTATTTTATGTAATTTCTATGTTCTGATAATTACAATTTGTAGTAGTTCTTGTCATTTTATAACCAATCTTTGTTCTGACACTAGTATTAGGTACTGAAATTGTACTCAAATTGTCACAAACACACTGACAGGTGGACATTTACACCTGCCTTGGTCATTTACTATTGTCTTGGAATATTTACAAAGTATTTATGTTTTGGATATGTGGAATTATATTATAATAATAATAATAATAATAATAATGGAGGAGGAGGAGGAGGACGAGGAGGATGAGGAGGAGGAGGAGGATGAGGATGAGGAGGAGGAGGAGGAGGAGGAGGAGGAGGAGGAGGAGGAGGATGAGGATGATGAGGAGGAGGAGGAGGAAGATGATGATGATGTGTAATAATATGTTCCCTTGAAGCATGAAAAACAAAGTCCACGCCTGATAGTGACATGATAAGATGAGATAACATCTCATAAGAGCTGACATTTGATGAGCGTAAACGAGGGTGAGGGAGGGTGCAGCTGATAAGAAAAGATTAGATGACCATCCCCTTCACTTTGCTGGTACACAAACATTTCTGTCTGTCTATTTGTCTGTCAAGCTCCCTGTCTATCTGTCTAACTCTCTGTCTCAGAGAGAGCCACAAGACTGCATCATCACCTTTACTCACATCTTCAAGAAGAGTTAAGCGCTTTGTCTGGATTTTTGGGTTATCCTAGGTAATTTATACTACGTATACTTATATTTATGTGTACCTGTGAGAGAGATAAGAGATAGACAGAGACAGATAGACAAAGCCAGAGACAGATAGACAGACACAGACAGATAGAGATAGACAAAGACAGAGACAGACAGATAGACAGAGATAGAGATCGACAGACCCTAAACTTGGGGATAACATCATTTTCCTCTTAAAAGAGAAGTGTTAATATGACATTACATCAGTAATGGTTGGATAAATACACAAGTGAGAGGGGTTGGATTTGAGTCGGACTTGCACCTGAGCTTATTGCTTGGGTAGCATTTGTTCTGTTAGTGGGTTGGATTTGTGAAGGACGGGCCTAGTAAGGGCCAGCAGGCCTACTGCAGTGTTCCTCCTTTCTTATGTTCTTACTGGAGACTTATGTGAGGGAGGGATGGCAAGTTTATTGTTGGAGAATATGACACTAATATCAACTCTATGGCTTATTTATCTATCACAATTCAACTAATATGACATAATAAACAATATTAATAACATAGAAACATGGAATATACTCTAGAATGAATAAAATATGTCATTACATATGTCACGAGAGGTGTTGTGTTGTTGTTGGATATATAAGGGCCACTGAGAGTAAGCCGTCCATAATGGTGGTGAAGCAGCAGCTGAGGCGGTGGTGTTTTCTGTAGCCCTATA